CGCATTTTTCTTCTGAATTTTTTCGCATATATTAATTATTTTACACTTTAATTTTTGATTTTTTTTTAAATAATACATGTGGAACTTTTCTTTCAGCCCACAAAAGTCCCGGCTTCTGGCAAAAAGTTAGATTTTAAAATGAATGTAATTAAACCCCTCTTCTGCTTTCATTATTTGCAAGAGAGAAAGAGACAAGTGAAAGTAACGAGAGTGATAGCATTTTACCAGTAGCGTCCAATCACTGGTAGAGCTACTTTGATTTGCTTCCACTACACTTATAGTAACCGCTAATCAAATAACTGTGTTAAAAAGTGCAAGAAAAAAAAATTAATTAAAAATTTGAATCAATAAATTTCACTTCAGTTTCTAAATTTTACATATGCTAAATCCAAATTATTTTTTTTTGATTAGGAAAATGAAGGAAAAATAAAAAGTTGTTTCAGCTGAGGGATCATTAGTTTCAATCGGCATACGTTTTTTTTTATCGGACAATAATACTGTCGTTTAATAAAAAAAGCAATTAAAAATTGCTCCTTTCGTTACTAAAAAGTTCTCCGCCTCAACAACTTTATTTTTAAAACGTCTATAGTTTGTCACAGAATCATATTTAAAACGACCCATGCCATTTACATTTTCCTTCATTTTGTCTCAGCACCAAGTTAAATTTAACCACTGTTTGGCTTCGAACTAGCGTCAGTTCGTACAAAACCACAGGCGGATCCAGAGGGAGGAAGATGACATAGGCACCAGTGCTGCAAAGTCTAGGAATAAAACTAAAGCTTAAAGTAACTCTAAATAGCAATGTTACAACACTATTCTTAGTTTTTCATGTTTCCAGGGTGGAAGAAGACTCTCCATCTCCACCCCACGTTCCCCCTCCCCTCCCCCCGTCAGAAGTCCGTCCTGGATCCGCCTATAGCCAAAACGAGGTATATTGGCAAACAGCCACGTGTATAATTTGTCCTGTCTGATAAATGATGTATAGAATTTGGGCAATGAGCCGAGCCATTACTAGTAGATGGTACCTGGCCAAACATTGGTAGAGAGAGAACTTGGCGAAGTGCTTGCACATTGCAAGACTTGCGGGTTATTTACTGTTATGGGACAGTTTGTATGCGAAAAATTAATGGATGTTTCTAAGGGGATTAAGTAAAATCGAGGAATCAGGAAGCAGCCCCGCTGGCTTTCTCGTCCCATCCAACTTTTATAATTTTAAAAACGGTAAAAAGTTACAGGACTGCACATTTTTTACCCGTAAAGATATCCTGCGTTTGTATAAACGTTTCTATGCGCTGAATCCGCTGAAAGTGCCAACGAATATGCAAGGCAATCGTCCAGCAATTATTACGCTATGCTTTGAGGAAATCGAGAAAATGCCCGAATTAAGGGTATTTTTTGCAGAAGTTTCCTTTATTTTGTTATTCTTACAAAAATCTAACGTGCCACGCGTATTTTAACATATTTTTGCAAAATTTAGCACGAAAACTAATTTTTTGTTACATTTTCTTCAATATTTTCTCGCTTTGCTGATTATTCTAGAGGATAAAGAGCGAAAATGAGACCATGGTATCCTTGCCCTAAATAACATTTTCCCCTAATCCCTTTTGCGCAGCTTTTATTTTGGTACTTTGAAGTGCCCGACATTTGGGTACATCCCAGTAAAATCCGTAATTTTGGATCCTCACATCGATTTTCCGAGTGATCTCAGCAATCTTTTGGATTTTTTCCAGCAGTTTTAGCGGATTTGCACCCGGTTAACACTTTTAAATTGATTTAAATGCCTTTCTTTGGTTTTTTAATTAAATTTCGAGCCTGTCTGGCAATAAAATTTTATGCCTCTACACATCTACTTCCAATCCTCCTGGTCTAATTTTACAAAGCGATCTGAGCTTTTTTTGCTATCGCCATCGAGTCCAAATTCCCCCTCCACTTCCACTGCTTGGCTACGGCAGAGTTCTTGGATTTTTCAATCTTTTCTAGACGTTTGCTGGGAAAATCAATGTAATTTTGGGCACAATTCTCACAGAAGGTCATTTTTTGCTCCAGGAAAATCCATTTCGACGACGTATATGTCAGGTGTTTTCGGATGATGGTGCTGGAAATTTAACATTTGATGACTTCCTGGATATGTTTTCTGTTTTTAGTGAAATGGCACCACTGCAGCTGAAGTTAAAATATGCATTCAGAATATATGGTAACAGAATTTTATGCTTTCCCAGCTTTACTTTTCATCTGTCTTTTTGAGTTAGTTTAATTCAAAAGGCAGTTAATTAAAAATTACTAAGGTATTTAAGCAGTGAGTATGGGAAATCGATGCTAGTGCTATTAC